AGGTGCTCATGTGTTGTGTAACGACGACTACCAATACATACTGCAGATGACTTAAGTGATACATATCCTACATATGTAATATATATATATACATATAGGTAGTCCTATATATGTCAGACAGTACAAAACATTAAAATTCATCGCCGGTCGGACTTCGGATTTATCCTTTGTCCATAAACATGAAAAACGTACGAGACGAAATCAACATAAACGCAATTTACATGCATACGAGATGGCCGCCAGATAAGAAAATAATATTATTATTGTATTCGGTTCGTAACACGTATAATGGTATAGATTTACTTATATATATTATATATACATAAACAAGACGCAAACCATCAAAAAGTACCAGTAGGTTAACGCACTTGTATTGATAATGACGATAATATATAACCGTATAGGTACTATCAGAAGGTGGCAGTATAGAACGATAACTGTTGAACTTTCATATTTAATCGTCATTATTCCCACGTAATACATCTACGTTTAAACGATGCAGCGTTATCTATCTGGCGTGTTTAATTATGTTAAATGTATAAACATATGTAATATTATATATATATTTAAATGTATATATTAAAACATAGTAAGAAAAAGTGCCTTTTACGAATAAAAGAAAAACTATAATATTTAATATCAATTCCAATGAGAGAAACGTCAGAAACGTAAGACAAAACCGAAAACTGTGTGATAATGGACCAGAGATATAAATTTCATATTTTAACTGACTCTTTGAGAGTTCTTAAAAAAGAAAAATATTGAAATTTTTGATTTTTAAGTTGTTTATACATGAAACAATATTTTTTTTWAACTCATTCAAACGGTATTATCAAAATATACACATAAAGTGATACTCACCTTATCTGGTACAATATAATTCAATGATACTTTCAATTCTTATATAAATATTAATTAGTAAACACTTARKTGCTGTACTATAAACTATAATTTTACCGAATTGTATAATATGTAATTATTTATTAATAAAATAATATTATTATACTTCAATAAGTAGATATTATCTAATATCTAAAGTAGTATGCCCCCTAAGTATATAAGACTCATCACTTTCTTTATTTATAACATATATTACAGTCAATACAAATTAATTARACTGCTTAGTGCTTACTATAGCCTAACCGCATTTGAAATTATATTTTTGGTACCTATTAAAAAGTGTTCATTTCAACCGACTTTGAAAATATCAACAACACCAACATTTTTGATACGGATTAATATTTAATTGTATATGCCATATATTTTACGGGTCATCGAGTAAAAACACTAAAAACCGTTTGGATTGTGTAACTCCTTCGCAGATAAATATTATGTTTATACATATATTTTGRGTACATGAATATTATGGTAACGGAGAAAACCGTTCTGCGACTAATGCAAATCGCTGTAATGATTCGGGAAAGAAATAACGATAAAATGTCAACTAATGGTTATTATATAAGAGCGGGTCACRGCACGAATTATTATTAACTTATTCGAAACTCAATCCGTTGTTTAGTAATGTTGTGTTTTACGTTTTTTTTTTAAAAAACCAAAGGTAGAAATGACAAAAATTGAACACCATTGCTACTTCGCCGGCACGTACTCACGTCACCACACAATATACACGGCAGCGCATTATATACCTAGTGCGCATCACGTTCAGCTGGTATGAATTGGYGTTATTTTAATTTTTCACGACCACTCAACATGTGTTRTCAACATCTCTATAAATTTAAGTATTTAATTTTTTGACGATTTTGTGAACCATCCGAAATTTCATTTAATAAATTAAAGTATATGTATGTATGCGATGATGAGAATTGCGGGGAATTCTCATCGGGAATATCGAGTACCGAATATTCAGCCACCTGTTTTGGGGTCCACTTGCAATACTTAATATTGTTTGGTGTTGGTTTGGGTCAGTCCCTAAAATATCCAAATTTTCGTACTACACACATAGT